TTATATCGACCCAAGTGTGATTAAACTCACGGTGTGAAGCGCGACGTTCGTAGCTCAAGTGGGTTGAGCGTTGGTTTGGCTAAAAGGCAAATCTCATATGCGGGCTCGAATCTCGACAAATGCCGCGAGTTTTTCCACAATTGGGTAAACTAATTAACTAAATATGCCAAACCAACTTAATAATACTAAAACTTTTCCTTAGTTGATGCTTCATAAAATAAACATAGCCTTGTTTAATCCTCTTCACGTTTTTTAAAGAAAGATGTTTCGAAGACAACGAAATTATCCAGGAATGTATCCTCAGTTGGCCGCTGAACTGTGAGAACTTGGTATTCTTCGAGGAAAGGGAGGATATGTATGGAATTCTGGAAAATCCAAAGGTAAGCTAGAACGCTTGTTTCGCTTTACAGACCTACCTTTTCCGAAAATGGAACTATATTTGTACTGCCTATGCATCTGGAACGGCACTGAAAATGTTCATGAAAAAAAGCTTATATGATCATGCAATTTACAAAATATAGTAACGAGGAATCATGCATTCTATCGTATCAAAAGTAAGCATAATTTATGTCAAGCAAAAAAGGTTTCTTCCCCGGGAAAAAAATTTAGGCAAAATGGTTTTCCTTGTTCTGGAGGGGGGTTTGTTTGCCACAGCCCACCTACGGAAAATTTTCTTTCCGATATTTAATCAAAAAATTCGTACTTTTCGTGCCATTGGCTAGATTGCTTTCCTCAACAACCACGACGATGGCGATATGTGTGTTAAATGAAATTTAGAACTAAAAAATCATCAACGAAAAAATAAATGAGCGTCTTCCCTCTGCTGGACTTCCAGAAGCTGTATATACGTAGTGTGGTAAGTACCCCGTTATTAAGTTGATGGCAGTGATGTTGTCTCAGATAGAAATAATTTACTCGATCTTCAAATAAGCTGAGACTTCATCGGTCGCCCAGATTTATGACTAGTGAATATCCTACGGTGTTTTTGTTGAAATCCAGTTATCTAGAATCG